CACATGCATTAATATATACTATATATAAAAATACAGATTTATTTTGGAATTTTATGCAGCATTATTTTCTACAAAAAGGGCAGATTCTTAATGGAATCCAGAAGTCAATGGCATCACTCCGGATTTACATCTGCATATCTGATGGCAGATTCTGGCCATTAGTTATTTCATTTCTGATGTCAACTATAAAGATGCACAGAAGCATCACACCCAGATGTCTAATAATAAAATAAGGATTAGAGTTTATTTTAACACTAGATTGTGGCAAAAAGACTGAAGGAGCCATAAAATACCTGTTACAAACTGTGCTATGCTGCCCCAGCAAAAGAAAGAGAGTAATGGAAATAACCAGCCCTTTTTGGACATGATTTACTCAAGAACTAAAAGAATGTACACCCAAAGTCTACAGTGCATGGATGTGTTTCTATCATGAGTTCTGGTAACATGAATACACCACTCAAGCTTCCTTCTTGGGGTGAAACTCTGGCTCCACTGAAGACAATGGAAATGCTGTCATTGACTTCAGTGGGGTCAGGATCTCACCTTTATGGTTTATGTTGGCACTATAAAATGCCAAAAATATATCCTTACCCCTAATCCTGCAGTCCTTACAATGAGAGCATTGCTTGCATTAGGACTGCAGGGTGGAACCTACACACTTAATGTCTGGGTATGCTTTATTCCTGGTTATACGTATTGAGCCAAAGCTTGCTCGGACAAAACTCCCATTGAATTAATAGGGAACAGGGCCTGGCCTGCTGTACATAACACAATCACACAGTTTACTTTAAAGGACTTACTGCTATAATAAAACAGTAAATAGTTTGTTGAAAATCCATAGCACAGAGGGTTCACAGTGGCTGAAAAACATTTCTGTTGGGACATACCTTTGAAATCTGCCAAATGGCTCCTCGGTCCTGGGACAGCCGCTGGGAGGGAATCACTCTCTTCTCCATTGCCCTCAGGACTTTAGTGAGTATTGCTTTGGTTTATTTCAAGAGAAGCTATTGAAAAACAACACAAAGTGCCTCACAAGACACTACAGACAGAGAAAAATCTGGGCAACAAAATGTGTGTGTGAATTTTTTAAAAAAAAAAAGAAAGAAAAATTTAGGTGAGGTATTTTTCCTTTTAATTTCTTCCATGATTCATTCCTCCAGCTGTTTTGTCTTTGCAGAGCCTGTGACTTGCCATTTATATTCCATCCCTGTGCTTGGAAATTGCTCTCCATGAGGTGAAAGGTGAAGAAGAGAAAAAAAGAAAAAGAAAAAAAGCCGCACGGAGTGAGGAGGAGATGAAAAGGTGGGGGCGGGGAGGAGGAGATCTCTTACGAGTGCAGAGGTGTCCAGAGGAATAATGGAAATGTGTTCCTCAGTGTCATGGTCTTCAGAACTGCTTGCGTTTTCAAGCTGCTAAAGGTGAGTGGTACAGGAGTACGCGAGGGGGAGTCACAAATTCCACGCGCTACAGTAAGTGCAAAATCTCACATTGCAGAAGTCATCAAACCAAGGGCTTCATTGTCATCTCAAACAATCCACCCCACAGTGGTTTTTCTAGAAACAGTTCTAGTATCAAGTAGACGTCCATTGCTTTTTTGTTTTTTGTAATTTTTTATTTAAAAAGTCTTTTTTCTAATAATATATAGAATATATAAATAATAATAATAATAATAATAATTAAAAAAAATTATTTGGGTTGGGTTTCTGCTCTCCAACCCATTTGTATTTTTGTGGTTTGCTGATATATATTAAAAGACGAGAAAATCAACTCTGCTCATTATTAAAAAAAATACTAAATCCACATTTCAGGTTTCCAGAGAGAAAGAGGGGGGAGGAGAAAGGAAACAAATTAAAATGAAAAATAAAAAGTGAATCAAAACTTTCTGTCTCTTTGAAGTAGTTGTCTAGGTTTTATAAGTTTGTGCTTTCAGTGTACACACCCAAAGGGGAAAAAAGGGATCTAAAATTGAAAAAAAAAAAGTAGTAATAATAATCATAGTAGTAAAAAGGATAGAAAATCGCTCAAAGAGTTTCTGTGTCTGTTTAGTTATTTTAGCAGCCACCCTTTTTATTTGTGGAGGGAGAGCTGCTACCATGGCCGCCTCCTCGGCTCAAGAGAGGCTCTTCCGCATCATCCTCATCAAAGCCGTGAAAGGTCGAGGTGTCGCTTTCCGATGTGGAACCGAACAAGTCCTCCGTAGTGCGTGCTGGCGCTGCTTCCTCCTTCCTGCCTTCTCTTCCCAAATGAGCTGACATGTATGATGAATATATCAGCACATGGGTTAAGCAACAGGCATCATCATTATTTTTTAAATCATCATAATTATCAAACAATGCAGACTATCAACCTGGTAGGTGTGTGTGTCCACAAATCAACAACAACATAGGACAGTAGAATAGCAGTAAGAAAAGGTAAAAAGGGGTTGGTTTTTCTAAAAACCTACAATAACACAGATGCCCGTAGGTATGGCAGCGAAAAGGTTAATGTTGTTTTCCTCTCTTCAAGAGACATTAAAACTATTCTCTCTTGATTACTTTGATCAGTTTTAAAAGATTTTTAGACCACATAAATAATTAGAAGCTGTTAGATTTAAGCACAATGATTGTCCTTCAGATTGGCATCAACTGTCATGAATTTACTGCTGTAGAATAACAACTTACTAGGTATTTCATCAGTATTGCAATGGGATAGGTTTTTAAAAAATTCTCATCCCTATCTCTTCCTGTCCCTGCCCTAAAGTAGCTCCTTTGAAGACAAAGTGAAAAACATTTTAAAGACTAAATATTCATTAAATTAATATATTCCATGTTAGAAATTCTGTGGAGTCTCTTGTGAAAAACAAAAATGAATCTACACCATCTAGCCACTAAAAATGCCAGAATAAAGAATGATCTGCTTTGGGGGACACTTGAAAGTTTAGGAAGTCTTTCAGTCCATTTTTTCCATATAGGGTAAGAAATACTCAGCATAGACATCAGGAGCAACAAACAACAACAAGAAAGCTTTAAAAAGAGAAGTTAAATACTGAAATCTGTAAAACTGAACTTTTTTCTGAATCAAATGTGATATGTAATTTGCAGTACAGATGTCAGAATCCCACTTCAAGAAATGCAGGAGAAAATATGGCCCTTGAGCCCTAGGAAAATGAAAGCCTCATGTTTGGTAGGGCCGGGAGGTTTGTGGTGCTATTCAGAAGCACTAACTAACATGATGATACACCAATTGCTTGGTCCCTTAAGCTGAAGGAAGCAGCTCTGTTGCAATTATACTGTATTTCCTAAGAAACAGATTTAGAATCAAATCCTGTACCCCAAAAGGAAATGAATATAATAAAAGAATCGGTAAGTAAAATAATCACTTCATAGGGATGTGATTTGACTGACTGAATACTGGGAGGAAACAAAAGAATGCACATGGCCTCTCCTCCGTTTGTCTTTCATCACCAAGAAAAGTAAAGACGGCAGCCACCAGTCATTAATATTATAGCTTAAAAAAATCTATGTATAGTTGCACTTTAGGCATTCTCATCATACATCTATCACACAGATGGAGAACCCTTGTAAATGACTCAGGTGGATGAGAATTTGTTAAAAGTGTTTAATGGAATTGTTCTGGGGGGCTTGTCCACAGATAGGATACAACAGCTACATGGGGCCTGATAATCTACTTTGCAATACAACAAGGACACCAACAAACTAGTGTATCTCAGTCATGTTCTGAAGTTAAATATGAAATTACAGTAACAAATAGCTACGTGACAGAACATTTGGATCCCTGTCATTGTGCAAGATTGGGGTAACACTGAAATGAGTGAGGCTAGGAAATAACACCCAAGGTAAAAGGGGAAAACGGGAGTCATTTTCCAGTATGGCAGTGTAGACAGTGTAAGCTTCTTCTCCTTTATTATGAAGCAAACACAAAAAGACTTATGTTAGTGTCTGCAGAGCACTTGTAGCAAAGCCCCTTAGAAGACCAAGGGTTGCCACTGGTCCAGCGATAAGTAATTGTTTTCAACTCAGGATATCTTCAAAGGTCAGAACAACTGTAGAGGACATTTGCCATCTAGGGCCCAGTCCTGCTCCCTTTGAATTTGATAGGAATTTTGATATTAATTTCAATGGGAGCATGAGCAGACTGTTATTTCAGTCCCAGAACACTCTGCATTATATATCAGCAATTATACAACACACACTTTCCAGTGAATAAAGAGCAGAAGTAGCAGCAATTCTAAAGGTTTCAAATTTCAAAGGTTTTTTTTGTTTTCAGATTTATAATCCATGGCCTTTCTCCCCCCTTTCCAAAAAATCACAACAATTGGGAAATTTGAATTGGAGATGGAATATGCTGTTGTTAGAGACCCCATTCCCTTCCATAGCCAAAAATAACAGCTCAGCTGGGACAAAAACAAAAAAGAAAAAACAACCAACAACCCAGAAATAAAGACAGCTCAGGATGGGGAAAGATGCAACTTCCTAAATTTAAAAAGAGACACAGGAAGAAAACAGATAAATAAAAACTCTTTAAACAGAATTAATGATAGTCATCTTGTAAGAGAATAATTCTTGACAGCTACTGCCATTCCTACCCTGTAATTTCCCCCTCTTTCTTTTTTTGGATGAAGAAATGCATGAAATGTGTAATCAATGGAAATGCTCATCATGCAACTTTCATAAATCTTGAAAGTAATTTACATTTGTAATTATGGGATTTGAAGACAGAGCCCATCCTTTAACATTGTCATAGGATTTTCTCTCTCCATTTAAATAAGAACAAGTATGAGTACTTATGTTCATGGCAGCCAATAAATACAATATAGCATTATATAGATAGATACATAGATTATATCATAATTGTCTTGTTAGCCCATTAGCAGAACAGAAACTTTGACAACCATCCTTCCCCACAAACAATAAGCAAACTACCCCAAAACATCAGAAAGAGCAAAAAGGGAATCACGCTAAATTGTTCATCTTAGAAAGTTGCAAGGAGGAGTCACCTACCCGAGCGTCCACAGTCTGAGCATGACACAAGCTCCTCTGGACAGCCACTTTTTTTGTTCATACTGGAGCCTCCAAGGCAGAAGTCACAGTAGTTGTTGGGAATGATAGCCCCGTCTGGTCCTTTTTGGGCTGCAGGCAGGTTAGAAATCATTTTTACTTAAAGAGCACACACATTTCTCCCTTCTCCTCTTCTCTGTCATGTTAATTTGATGACTTTGGTGACAATAGCCTTCCCCAAATATTTTCAGTTAGGGTGACAAGCGAATTGTACAAAACATTTTCATTTTAAGTACATTACATACCAAGGCACAGAGCTCTGAGGCTCTTCTGAACATCCTGTTCAAATGGGCATTGCTGGTGTGCGATGTCCTGCTCTCCCTTAACAGGTGGAGAGGTTGTGTTGATACTGAGCAATCCAAAGTGTTTTACTTTTTTTTTCTTTTAAAGAAACACTGTCAGCTTAAACATTCTATTTTTTACTCTAAAATTTTTTACCTACACTTATTTGATTTTTATAAATAACTCTTAGGATTTCTATAACAGAAAGAAATTAGAGGGGGAAAAGCATTCTCTCTTTCCTTAGCTTGTGTACTTTGTGCCTTTCGCAGCACTTTCCATACAGTAAATGTCACCTTTTCCTCATATAATCAGTTAGACCCTGATCCTGCACTGGAATCTGCTAGCAATCACTGTGTCCATACAGAATCCCAAATAAATGGGGTACCTCTGCTAATGGACCCACAGGCAAAATCAGAGCCTTAGCCAGTATTCTCTGCCATTTTTCTTTTGCACAGCAACCAGGGAAGAGAAACAAAACAGAAAAAAATTGTAAATCCACAAAACACCAAACTCACACCAGGATTCCCAAAAGTTTCATGAACTGTTGACTGAACAGGTTTGTTCAGGTCATATTCACGGGTCTGTATCTAAATCAGGTGCAGTTTGTCATTTCAATTAAATGTGATGGTGTTTTCAACAGAGGCTTTGTCTACATACAGATTTATACCTACTTACCTAAATCAATACAAGACATTTTAAAAATGGTTTAAGGGTTTCCACATAAGGGTTTGCATCAGTTTAACTAAATCAGATTAAAAGAACACCTTTCATCAAACCACTGAGTGTTTGTGCGGAAAAGACCTAGGCTCCACCGAACACATGTGGTTTAAAACCAAAAGAAAAGGATCTCAGAAATCCTGGCAAATTAACCTTCAAATTCCACAGGGCTCCAGTTCAAAACACATTTTTTAAAACGCTGGGTTTGGCTAAACAGGTTCGTGTTTTTCTTAAAGCCCGAGCTCATGGGGGCAATCAACTTGGTTAGTTTTAAGAGAGAATTGGACAAATGTATGAGTGCAATTGAATTATGGGGTTGCTTGTGATGGTAGGGGGCAGGACTCAGTAGCCGGGGGCTCACTGCCAGTTTACGTCTTATTTTCCTAAAGCTCATGCTTCAGGATTTCAACTGTCCACTGACAGAGGTCAGGAAGGGATTCCCCCCCCAGTGTATGCTGGGAGGTGTTTTTATCTCCTTTCTGTGAAGCATCATGGATTGCCATGGCTGGAGATGGGCCACCGAGGGGATGGGCCAGAGGTCTGAGATGGCACTAAGTATTCTCTCTCAGGTACTTGGCTGGCTGGTTCTATGCTCAGGGTCTAACTGAATGCCATATGTGGCATTGGGAGGGAATTTCCCCCAGGTCGGACTGTCAGTGACCTTGGAGAGTTTCCCCTTTCTCTGCTGCATGCGGGTGCAGGTCACTTGCTGGGATAATCTGGGTATATCTCATTTAATCATTTCCCTGTCATTACGGGGGCCTCTAGCACTGGTGCACCTCGGTCCTGCCTATTCTCTCATTGTGGCACATAACAGCCTAGTCTGCTGTGGGTTTCATTTACTTTTGTCTCATGTCCATTGTTGGGTTTAGTGTGTGGGTGCTGGGTGGTGTTGGAGGCCCGTGATATACAGAAAGTCAGACTACATGATCCAGACTACATGATCTAGAGATCCCTTCTGGGCTTAAACTCTGTGACTCCTGGAGTCATATGAATATCTGAGCTTTTATTTAAAAAAAAAAAAAAAAAGCTTCTAGTCCTCATCGTTACAGAGAATTTTTGTCCCTGTTATGCATTTCAAAATTAGAAATGTTTCAGCTGTACTTGAAAACATGAACCCCAGGGGCTCATGAACCAGAAAGCAAATAAAAAGAACTCTATATTTACTTTTTAAATTTCACAGATTTTATGCTAATCTCAATTTTTGGGGCCTGACTCATGATTTTTAAATGTGTGGGGTTGGCAACACTGCAAAGAAGACGCCTAATTCTCCATTGCTTTGCACCATCTTGTAGTCCTTTATATCTGTGCAACTTGAATGCAAATTGTGTGTAAAATCCTACCATGCAATGAGTGGAGAATTCTCATTCAGTAACGTTTTGCACGCACTTTGCACAATGGCCACACAAGTTGCAAGGTAATGGAGAATCAGGACGGAGGCGTTTGTTTTAGGTTGGGGTTTTTGGTGTTTGCTACTTTAAATGAATACAGCAAATTGCTTATAATTAGATGGATGCCATTAAAAAGGGATTTTTTTTACCCTCTTTACTCCTGCTCTATCCACCCCCTTCCTATCCTTTTTCTTTCCATTTATCTTATCCTCTCCTAAGTTAACGCACCCCACATAAACATAGGCAATGGGTATAATAGCCAAGGTAAGGCTAAGCCTACCCTGGAACAGCTGCTGCCGACCCGCCACCTGGGCTGCGGTGGCCCTGTCCCAAGCCTCACCGTCTGCTGCTGCCTGCCTGTCGCTGCTCACCATGTCCCTCCTCCTTGGGGTGCAGGGGAGTGAGGAGGGAACACGGTGAGCCAGCGGTGGGCCAGAGGGTCTGGCAGGGGAGTGAAGCGGCTCGCTTGGCCGTGCACTGGGGCTGGCTGGGTGTGGGGAGACCAGCAGTTTGGCCCGGCCCAGTGTGGCTGGGGCCGGCAGCTCTGGAGAGGCCAGTGGCTTGGCCTGGTACTTGGTGGGGCTATGGCCTGTCCAGTCCAGTGGATGGCTTGGCCCAACATGGCCAGCTCGGTGTGGGGGTAAGGGGTGGCTCGACCCGGGGTGGCCGGCTCAGGGGGGACTGACGGCTCGGCCCAGCGCTTGGCAGGGCCAGGACCCATCCTGTCCAGGGGCTGGCTCGGCCCAGCATGGCCAGCTCGGCGGGGCTGGCAACTCAGCCGGGCATGGCTGGGACTGGGCAGGCGCTCAGGGGGGTGGGCCCAGCGTGGCTGAGGTGGGCATGCCACGGGGCTCCTCCAGTCGCCAGGGGGTAGGGTCTCCGGCGTGCGGGGGCAGGGCCTCGGGCGGAAGGGGCGCAGCCAGCAGGTTAGCTTCCCCAAAGTGGGGTTCACCCGCTGCTCATCCACATAAACAAATACTTGTAAATGGAACTAACACGCCATCTGCTGCCATCTCAGAGTTCACTCTGCCTGTGTGTTCTACCCCTTCCCCACCCTGTGTCTGTCTTGTCTATTTACACTGTAAGCTCTTCTGGGCAAGGACCATCTACCACACAGTGTTTGTACAGTGCCTGGCACAGTGGGGGCCCATTCTCAGTTGGCCTTCCAGCATTCCCATAATAAACAAGGGTAATAATAATCTTCACAGCATGGGGGTTCCCACTATTGCCCTACTTACTTTCAGCTTGATCCAAAGCTCACAAAAATCACTACAGCTCTTCCTATTGAATTCAAAGGGCTTTGAATCAGGCCCTTTGCTTCCACTTGAGGCCAAATATTCCATAATGGATACCTAGGGGAGCATATCCTGAAAGCCCATATTTTGCAACGAAGAAAAAAAACGGATTTTTCTTAGAAAATATTACAAGCTTCTTTGTCTCAGACTTAGGCCCAGATTCCCCCTCCTGTACCTGCTCCCCACCGTTCACATCTACGTCCAACATTTGGCTGCCAGTTCAGTTCAAAGCCAGCCAATAACCCATCCTGTGTATTTCAAGTTTTCCCTTGGAGAACTCGATGATATATAATCTGAACCTATAGGGTAAGTGCCACTGTGCTTCTCTTGCTCTCTTTGCCCCCCTACTGCTGACAGATCTCATCCCTCTGGAGGGCTGACATGTTTCCATAGCAACCAGAATCCTAGCTCCGGTTGCCTCTGGTCTTGCCACCTGTTATTACTTCATCTCTCAAGTGTAAGGAATTGTAGCATGTCCCCTTATTTTGCTGCTCAAAATGCATCTACAGAGAATAGATGGACTCAAGAAACAAGAAATTAAAATAAAAAAATACATCAATGGGAGTTTGGGGGAGCAGCTGCTAGAAGATACACCTCAGGAAAAGCCACCCTCTAACAGAGCAAGAGATGGATTCCCAGCTGGAGATGCACCCACTTCCACCTGGCTTATTCCCAGTTTTTAATGAGAAATGGAGAAATTCATGGGGGTGGGTTGCAAAGGGAATGAATGGCTCATTGCACAGACGTGCCAATTTTTTAGTGTAGGGCAGAGCTCTGGATTAGAATAACACAAGGTAGATGGCATAATCTGTGGGTGTAGTGAAGGACAGGCCAAGTAGAGCTCAAATAAGTTTAGTTCACTTCACCCACCTTCCGTGTCTCTCTCTCACACACACACACACTTATGTATTGCTCTCTCCTATAAACTATTCTTACAACTTTTTCATTAAAATTCATGGGAGGAAAAATGCAAGTCAAACTAAATGAGAGGAAATGGCCAGATTCTTTGCCATGCAAGCCTGAGAAGCAGGCTGCACCATCCAAAGAGATGTTACAGTCTGCACACATCCAGAACTGGCACCTCCCATAACAGCATTTTGGCCCCTGCTGGAATCAGTCTCGTGATGACGCAAGAAGCTCTGGCCTTCATATGATTTCTAGCACCGCTCTATAGCTGTGATTGGCTGATCTTTCCCAAGAGGTGGGAAAAGCAGTCAAATCAGAGCTTCTGCAGGAGGCCAGTAGGGTTCTCCCATCCTCCCCTTATGAGCCAAGAGGAGTTTTTGGGTAGGACAGGGAGCAGCTGATGCCATTTTCACAGGAACGGCTATGGGGCTGCGGACCATAATTAATTGATGGGCTGTGGGTGGGCAGGTGAGAGGCTGGG